TTATAAATAAGGGGAAAATGGCATAAATTCGGTCTAAATAATAAATTTACAAACGGCGCCCCATACATGTGCGCTACAAGGTTTATCCACTGGATTCCATCGTTCATGTAACAATCGAGCAAGCTAAGGACTCTTGCGGGAAATATAATTTGCGAAATTAAAACGCGGCGATATTCACTGTAAAAGTTATATTTGCTCATTAGAATTCCGTGTGAGTGTTGCGACACCCAGAGAACCAGCCAACCATTGTTTATGTATCAATCGGATTTGACAAGTGCGTTTGTTCAGAGAAATCCTTAGAACTTAATAACAATTAAATTCGATGTTAACGCTAAATTCGACATTTTTTGAGAGCTAGTTCTGATGTGAAATTTCGGCATCTGTTATTCTGCTTGCGCGCACATTATAGCCGGAATTACTTATGCTTCAGATACTTTATGTTCACTTCAGAGCTGACCGGCCGCTCACGGATTTTTTCTGAGGAGAAGAGGGCAGTTTGTTCTCACGTTAGGTAATACGTTGCAACACGGTCTCCAAACGTGTGCATGCAAGGTGTTGATTGCAAAGCATGACGCAAGAAATGCCTTGCTTATGCGAAAATAGGAAAAGTCAATCGTTATTTCATTTGTGAAGAAACAAATAGCTGGAACAATTGAGTAGTCCGCTTTTGAGCAAATCTTATGTTTCGAATTAGTTCGGAAATGGAACATACACGAAAAGCCAAAATAAAAAAGAATTATCGAGACACGTGCCGTGGATTACGTAAGGCTTTAATTTATTCGGTCTCTGTTATTTTTTATTGTAATCTACCCTGTTCTTTTCAATCGTCTTTGCAATTTAATACCTTCTCCCGCTAAAGGAAAACATACCTGGTGTTCTGCGAGTAAAATTCGTGATCGACTGATCACTCATGTTCAGTACTGTCGAGTAGATTCCATCGGAAAAGAGAACTTTCTATTCGTTGTCGATCGGAAAATTACATCTCATTGGCTATTAGCTGGATATAAAGCCTGTCGGATCGATCGATTCGTCGAACGGACACGACCCGAAACCTGGATGTTGTCGATCGGAAAATCGCATCTCATTAG